CATCTCTGGCCCACACAATCAGCTTTTGCTTGGCCCACATGAATTACAGTGAATTACATTAATTGACTGGACCAAGTCTGGATTCCAGTCACGGCCCAAACATGGACCATATCTGGGCCAATTCTCAGCCAAGTTAATAACCCATAACTGAGCCAAAAATGTTGGTGTGTCATGACTGCAATGAAAATGATAAACCCATGAATCATTGCGCTTTAGGCATGCTATGGGTGTGCTTTTTCTCAAAGCAACCTGATTGGTAGAATTATTTTCTTTATTTGAAAATAATAAAAATGTCTTTTAAATGTGGGTCAAGATAGACCAAACTAACATGGCCCACATGTTAATTATTAACATCTGGCCCACATATCAATTATTAACATCTGGCCCACATATCAATTATTAACATCTGGGCCAAATACTACAGTTTACATCTGGCCCACATATCACTTATTAACATCTGGGCCAAATACTACAGTTTACATCTGGCCCACATATCACTTATTAACATCTGGGCCAAATACTACAGTTTACATCTGGCTCACATATCACTTATTAACATCTGGGCCAAATACTACAGTTTACATCTGGCCCACATATCACTTATTAACATCTGGGCCAAATACTACATTTTACATCTGGCCACATATCAATAATTAACATCTGGGCCAAATACTACATTTTACATCTGGCCCACATATCACTTATTAACATCTGGGCCAAATACTACATTTTACATCTGGTCCCCATATCAATTATTAACATCTGGGCCAAATACTACATTTTACATCTGGCCCACATATCAATAATTAACATCTGGGCCAAATACTACATTTTACATCTGGCCCACATATCAATTATTAACATCTGGGCCAAATACTACATTTTACATCTGGCCCACATATCAATTATTAACATCTGGGCCAAATACTACATTTTACATCTGGCCCACATATCACTTATTAACATCTGGGCCAAATACTACATTTTACATCTGGCCCACATATCAATTATTAACATCTGGGCCAAATACTATATTTTACATCTGGCCCACATGTCACTTATTAACATCTGGGCCAAATAATACATTTTACATCTGGCCCACATATCAATTATTAACATCTGGGCCAAATACTATATTTTACATCTGGCCCACATATCAATTATTAACATCTGGGCCAAATACTGCATTTTACATCTGGCCCACATATCACTTATTAACATCTGAGCCAAATACAACATTTTACATCCGGCCCACATATCATTTATTAACATCTGGGCCAAATACTACAGTTTACATCTGGCCCACATATCAATTATTAACATCTGGGCCAAATACAACAGTTTACATCTGCCCCACATATCACTTATTAACATCTGGGCCAAATAATACATTTTACATCTGGCCCACATATCAATTATTAACATCTGGGCCAAATACTACATTTTACATCTGGCCCACATATCACTTATTAACATCTGGCCCACATATCACTTATTAACACTGGGTCAAATAATACATTTTACATCTGGCCCACATAACAATTATTAACATCTGGGTCAAATACAACAGTTTACATCTGCCCCACATATCACTTATTAACATCTGGGCCAAATACTACATTTTACATCTGGCCCACATATCAATTATTAACATCTGGCCCACATATCACTTATTAACATCTGTGTCAAATAATACATTTTACATCTGGCCCACATATCAATTATTAACATCTGGGTCAAATACAACAGTTTACATCTGGCCCAAGTATTGTGTGCCGCCTTAAAGACCTGGGATATGATGCATTTTACAAATGATGCACATGTAATTAAAGCACATACCAGCTCCAAACCACATTCTGCTTCCATGCAATCTTCAGGAATAGTAACGACGCTGAGCTTTCCGCATGCAGATGGGGAAAGTGAGAATTAAGGCATTGATCAATTGTGAGCTGTGGGTTAATCTGTAACTGTCAGACAAGTCTCCGCATTGAGGAGAAGCTGTGATGGCCTTAGATCAATGATTATATGATTAATCTGCATGATTGAATCAGTGGAAAAAATAAGACATTTATGGGGATTTGGAAAGGAGAATTGTGCTTGGATTGATGGCAATAAAAGCATAATTAATTGTGCCTATTGACAAAAAGCCCCCTCCACAGACGTGCTGTAAAAGCCTTCATTATTGATCAGTGTGCGTGTGTGTGTGTGTTTGTGTGTGTGTGTGTGCACTCAAGGGGGCTGAATGCACAGTGTTTAAAACAAATGCCACATTTTGAGGTGGGAGGAACAAACACGACAGCTGTCAAACGGGATCAGATGCTTGAAAAGGTGGACAAAGACCAGAGGGACAGAATAACATCTCCTCGTTAGGAGCGTGAGGATGCTGTTTAAGCATGCATACTAATCTCCTTGACACCCGGGTGCATTTTAATGAGCTATTTTTAGAATCCGCCGTCATTGCGCACTGAGGATTCAGATCACACATTCACTTATCTGCATACTAGTGTCTTACATGCACAGCAGTATGTACTTAAGTACACACTACAGTATGTACTAAACTATATCTTTGAAATATCACCATTGCTATACTCCAGCGTCCTTGTGCACTGAGATTGCAGATTATGTATTTATACTTTATTCTAGTGTCTTATATGCACAGCAGTATGTACTTAAGTGTAGACTACAGTATGTACTAAACTATATATTTTTAAACCAGCACCATTGCTAGTACTGTATTTAGCATCGTGTTCTGGGGATGCATGTTACGTATTCACTCATATTCACTTTCCCCATTCTAGTGCATGTTTACAGCAGTATGCACTTAAGTACACACTACAGTCTATACTAAACTATATATTTTTAAACCAGCACCATTGCTAGTACTGTATTTAGCATCGTGTTCTGGGGATGCATGTTACGTATTCACTCATATTCACTTTCTCCATTCTAGTGCATGTTTACAGCAGTATGCACTTAAGTACACACTACAGTGTATACTAAACTACTGTATATATTTTAAACCAGCACCATTGCTATAATCCAGCGCCATTGTGCACTGAGGATGCAGATAACATATTCACTGATGTGCATACTAGTGCCTTATATACACAGCAGTATGTACTTAAGTATAGACTACAGTATGTATTAAACTATATATTTTTAAACCAGCACTATTTTAAATATTAAGAATCATTGTGTTCTGAGGATATTATGTATTCACTCATATTCACTTTTCTCCATTCTAGTGCATATTTACAGCAGTATGTACTTAAGTACACATTACAGTATGTACTGAACTATGTAGTTTTTAACCAGCACCATTGCTAGGTTTCATCATCATTGTACTGAGGATGAATATTACATATTTACTTAAATTTACTTTTCTCTATTGTAGTGTCTTATATGCACAGCAGTATGTACTTAAGTATGCACTGCAGTATATACTAAACTATATATTTTTAAACCAGCACCATTGCTATAATCTAGAATCATTGTGCACTAAGGATGCAGATCATATAATCACTTATCTGCATACTAGTGTTGTATATACACAACAGTATGTACTTAAGTATAGACTACAGTATGTAATAAACTATATATATATTTTTAAAACAAGCCCATTGCTAGTATTTAGCCTCAGTGTGTACTGAGGATGCATAGTATGTAATCACTCATATTCACTTTTCTCCATTCTAGTGCATATTTACAGCAGCATGTACTTAAGTACACACTACAGTATGTACTGAACTATATATTTTTTAAACTAGCACCATTGCTATGCTTCATCATCATTGTGTACTGAGGATGCATACTACATATTTGCTTATATTCACTTTTCTCTATTGTAGTGTCTTATATGCACAGCAGTATGTACTTAAGTATGCACTGCAATATATACTAAACTATATATTTTTAAACCAGCACCAATGCTATAATCCAGCGTCAATGTGCACTGAGGGTGCAGATCATATTTTTACTTATCTGCATACTAGTGTCTTTTATGCATAGCAGTATGTACTTAAGTATATACTACAGTATGTACTAAACTATATATATTTTTTAAACCAGCACCGTTGCTAGTATTTAGCATCATTGCGTACTGAGGACGCATATTATGTATTCACTCATATTCACTTTTCTCTATTCTAGTATGCTATACACATGACAGTAAGTACTGAAGAACAGACTACAGTATGTACTTAACTATATATTGTTAAACCAGCACCATTGCTAGGTTCCACCGTCATTGCGCACTGAGGCTGCATATTACATATTCACTTATATTCACTTTTTTTTCATTCTATTGTCATATACATACAGCAGTATGCAATAAAGTATACACTACAATATATACTAAACTATATATTTTTTTAAACCAGCTCCATTGTTAGAATCCAGCATCATTGTTTACTGAGGATGCATAATACGCAATTACTTATATTCACTTTTCCCTATTATAATATATATATACAGATGTACAGTATGTTCTTAAGTACACACTACAGTATGTACTAAACTATATATTTTTTAAACCAGCTCCATTGCTATAATCCAGAGTCATTGTGCATTGAGGATGCATATTACACATTCACTTAAAGTATATTAACTTTTATTTATTCTGCTTTATGTATACAGAAGTATGTACTTAAATACACACTACAGTATGTACTAACCTATGATTTTTGAAAGCAGCACCAGTGCTAGTATTTAGCATCATTGTGTATTGAGGATGCATATTCTGTATTCACTCATATTCACTTTTCTCCATTCTAGTGTATATATATATATATATATATATATATATATATATATATATATAT